CTTCTGTCTCATTTTGGGGAGTCCTGCCTCAATTTGGGGGGTGGTCCTGCCTCATTTTGGGGGGTCCTCCCCCATTTTGGGGGGTCCTGCCTCATTGGGGGGGGGGTCCTGCCCCATTTTGGGGGGGGTCCTGACCCATTTTGGGGGGCTCCTGCCCTGTTTTGGGGGGTCCTGCCCTATTTTGGGGGGTCCTGTCTCATTTTGGGGATGTCCTGCCCCATTTTGGGAGGGTCCTGCCTCATTTTGGGGGGTCCTCCCCCATTTTGGGGTGTTCTGCCCCATTTTGGGGGGTCCTGCCCCATTTTGGGGGCTTCTGTCTCATTTTGGGGGGGGTCCTGCCCCGTTTTGGGGGGTCCTGCCCCATTTTGGGGGGGCAGTTTGGGGTGGGCTCAGAAGGGCATTTTGGGGTGGGAATTTGGGGTCTCTGGGATGGTTTTGGGGGTCTCAGGGGAGGAGGTTTAGGGGCTCTGGGGGGGATTTTGGGGTCTTCGGTAGGATCGGGATCACTGGGGGGCCGCAGGGCAGTTTGGGGTGGGGTTTTGGGGGTCTTTAGGGAAATTTTGGGGTCTCTGGGAGGGGTTTTGGGGTCTCTAGGGTGGGGTTGAGGTTGCTGGGGGGGTTGTAGGGTGGTTTGGGGGGCTCTGGGTGGGATTTTGGGGTCTCTGGGGTGGATTTGGGGTCTCTGGGGTGGATTTTGGGATCTCTCAGGAGGATTTTGGGGTCTCTGGGTTGGTTTTGGGGTCTCTGGGTGGGATTTTGGGGTCTTTGGGGTGGATTTGGGGTCTCTGGGTTGGATTTGGGGTCTCTGGGTTGGTTTTGGGATCTCTGGGTGGGATTTGGGGTCTCTGGGTTGGTTTTGGGGTCTCTGGGTGGGATTTTGGGGTCTCTGGGTGGGATTTTGGGGTCTCTGGGTTGGTTTTGGGGTCTCTGGGTGGGATTTTGGGGTCTCTGGGTGGGATTTTGGGGTCTCTGGGTTGGTTTTGGGATCTCTGGGTGGGATTTTGGGGTCTCTGGGTGGGATTTTGGGGTCTCTGGGTGGGATTTTGGGGTCTCTGGGTGGGATTTTGGGATCTCTCAGGAGAATTTCGGGATTCTCCCCATACTGGGGGGGGGTCCCACAATGATTTTTTCCCCTCCCCCAGGCCCCCCCATCCCGGCCACGCCCATCCCCAACCCCGACATCACCCCCAGCCGGTACCGGGGGCTGCCCAGCCCCCCCTCGGGACCCTCCCCCACCTCGGGACCCCCGCCCGCCCCCGGGGCCCCCCCTGGCCAGCGGAAAAAGGGGAGGGGGCGCAAGAAAATCTCCAAGGCCGATATCGGGGTCCCCTCCGGATTCAAGTGGGTCTGGGGGGGATTTGGGGTCTGGGG